GGGGGAGATGTTGGCAAAAAAGTATTGCAGATCGGAACAAAATGGATTTATTAGTTTTAGGCCAATCTGGACTGAATAAGCAGTTAAAGTGACATTAAACCCTCAGATTGTTTCACATAAAACAATACTGTAATGTGTGCTTTACTGTAATCCATGGTTGTTTCCCTTCTCTTTGCTGCTCTTCCTTTTAAATCTGTATCTCATCTCATGCTGGGCAGAACTTCTGTTTTGCAGCAGACTGCCTTGTCTCTGGAATGGATACATGGTGTCAGTGTGTAGGTTTGCAACCTGAGCCAGCACTACAGGAAGAGGCACTCAGCTGCAAAGGGAAGTTCTCCCCAAGCATGAGAAGAGATACAGATTTAAAAGGAAGAGCAGCAAAGAGAAGGGAAACTACCATGGATTACAGTAAGGCACACATTACAGTATTGGTTTATGTTAAAAAATCTGAGGGTTTAATGTCACTTTAAGCTTTGTTTGTTTTCTGTAAATACTTTTTCTATAATATGTCTTTTGTAATATCCTCCCTCGCCATCTTAGTTTTCTTCTCCTTTGCCATCTTGTAAGTATGTTTAGGGATTTTTTCTGACTGCAATGATTCGACACTGATTTACTGTCCCCACGCATTATGTAACTACTTGCAATCCGGCCATTTTTGAACGTCCTTTCCCACGGGAAACATGAACATCATTTACAGCCGGCAACGGCTATTAGCAGGGCGTAAAAATTTTTAGGGTGTCTCACCAGTCAGTATGACCGGACTATAGCTTTGCAATTTATGTAAAAAATTTTTAGGGACATATAGAGTTTTCTTTTGGTGGTATATAATCACCACTGGGGTTTTATTTTTTACTATATAATGAAAAAAGTACCACAAATTTTGAAAAAAAAAAAAGGTTTTCCCTACGTTATGTTAAAAAACATTTATTCTTACCCATATTTTTGGTAAAATATAAAAGACGGGGTCAAGTCGGGTAAATAGACACCAAACACGTCAAGCTTTAAAATTGTGCACGCCCGCAAAATTGAAACAAATGACCACACTGAAATTTGGCCATAGGTGACGCATTAAACGCTTTTACTGCTCATCATTTTAGTGTTATCAGTGATTAATTGCCCTAAAATTATTGCTCACACTCCGACGTTCGCGGCGATATGTAACATGTGCGACACAACGGGCACAATCATCGTTTTCGCACGTAGGCGCACCCGACGCATGTTTGCGAGTGTATGTGGGGGGCAGGGGACCGTTAAAAAAAATGTATGCTTCTTTAATTTTTTTTACACTTAACTGTATTGGTATCACATGGGTATATGGAGGGGGGTGGACTTTAAAACATTTTGTGTGTTATTTTAAATTTTTTTTATTTGTGATTTTTTTTTTTTTAGCTTCTTTATTTCTTTTGCTTTAATTTTTTTTAAACTTTTTTTTTTTAAACTTAACTTTGTTCATATCACATAGGGGACTAAGAAATCCCCTATGTGATAGCCAATTTACATGACAGGTCCTCTTAATAGAGACATCAGGGGTCTCCAAGACGCCTAATGTCACCTAGGGACCCCCAGAGAAGCTGATGAAGCAGAGATCTGCTTTAGAAGCTTCTGAAGCTGGAGAGTGACAGCAGAATGTGGATGTGATGTAATATACATCACTTCCTGCATTCGGGACGGAGAGGAGAACAGAGGGAGATCGTGTACTGATCTCCCTTTGATCCCCTGTCACAAAGCAGCCGTGCTGGTCCCGGCTGCACCAGTCACAGCGGATCACGGGATCGGCAACGGCAGTGAAATCGGCTGCTAATACAGCTATCGGGCGTCTCTAGAATGCGCCGCTTGAATGTAAAGCTCCCGGCCGGCCGTTTCATTACATCGCTAATCCCTCCCTTTGCTGTCCCCCGTGCAGGCCCAGGCTTAGCACGTGATCGGAGGGGGATCAGCACACGTCCACCTGCTGATCTCCCCATTCGATCACTGAGTTTGGAAGTAATGTGTATTACATCACTTTCACTTTTAGTCTGTCGTTTCTCCAGCTGCTGTAGCCGGAGAAGAAGCTTCATCAGCTTCTTTGGGGTTCGTAGGTGACATTAGAGGTCTAAAAGACTTCTGATGTCTCCATATTGAGGACCTGTCACTGTGTCTGTGCTATCACATAGGTTATTCTGGTACATTCCAGTGCAGTGCGATTGCAAAAAATTGAGCAGGCAGTTTTATTCCGAAGTGAACTTTATGTTAGTACCCCTCCATTTGTGTACTTTAAATAAAATATGGTATTTCATTTTTTTTAATCTGAATAATCAAAAAAATAATTGGCAAAGTAATCAATTATGAAAATAATCGTTAGTTGCAGCCCTCTTGAATGTCATATCCTTTTCCTCTTCTGGGAGTGTCTAATTACCCTGTGTGCTGGTTTTGTTTATTCTACTCTTCCCCCCACAACCTTTTATGTAGCTGCCATGGTGGAGAAAAGGGGAAATAAAAAAAAAATTCACTTGAGTGACAGCTCTGATTCTACTGGGGCTGCTTACAACACATCCAATATATCAGCACTCAGCAATCTCAGGGCTCTTGGATGTATACACAAGGGATGCTTTTACAGGTAAATAACATGCATAAAATACAATTAAAGCACATAAAAGCTTACGAAAATATTTATATTTAAATTAATGGTCTGGCAACTGGGTCTCTTTAAAGGTAGAGCAACATACTAGAGGTCCAGACATTGCCTTTGCAAGGCAGCTGAATACTTCAAGTGTGTGTCTGCACCAAATACAAAAACACAAAGATGGTAGCTGCTCTGAATAAACTGAAACTAGCAAAAAAGGAGAAAGCTAACCATGGGCACGGCAATATGCAAAACACTACAATAGGTTCCCACCACACGTTCAAGCTAGCCAGCAAAAAACTAACTAAATGGTTTCAACATGTATTTGAAAACAAATGCAACAAAAATCTTTGTTTAGTTTGTTTACTGGCTAGTTTGAAAGTGTGCTGGTGACCTATTGTATTAAAGGCCTAATTTTATTAAAATACACTGTGAATTGTATGCCATTTTTTAGGTATACAATCAAGTTTGGAAGGAATAATTCTAACTATGGAAACACTGCACGGTAGGGATTTAAAGATATTATCTGTTTTTAAGTGATTTTGTGTTTAATTCTTGGTGCCTAGCCCTGCCCTCTCTTGGGCCTTACCGTTGGCCAGTAAGCCTCTTCATCACAGCAATGAACTAATACGTAAAGTGGAATTACACCCTCCTATCCTTTATGGATAAGAAAGGTGCCCTCTAAGCTTCTATTTGAATTGCAGTTACAATGGTGCTGCACATGTGATCAGCTACAGTATAACACCAGCCATTTGAGGGTTTGAAAGTTTGGTTGAAAGCAGAAATAAGCAGACTGGCAACCTTAACAGTTGTCATGCCTTGAAAGTACCTTATCTTATGCTCCATAAGGAGCACCGGACCCTGAGCAGCGTCTCCCACTGTACATTCAGCTCTGCTTTAGCAGGGCTAAATGTACAAAAAACTACTCGCCCGGCGTCCGAAACTGCATGTCCTGGGCGTCGGGCGATAGGGATTCGTCCATAAGACGCACACACATTTCCTCCTGCCTTTTGGGGAAAAAAAGTGCGTCTTATGGAGCGAAAAATACGGTAACTGTTTTGGGAGACAGTTAAATTGGTGGGTCTAGTTTCACTTTAACTGCAACTTACACTTGTTTAACTAAGCCATTGCTATAGAAGGTGGGAAAGAATGATGCAGACAACTACTTTAGGAACTAAATATATCTTCATAGCAGAGCTCCCTGAGCTTTAGGACTCCCAAGAGTCCTTCAATCCATATTCTGAACCAGTGCTAAGTGTTCTCCAGGTGTACTTCTGACACAGTACATGTATCATAATAGCTTGGAGTTTTAGCAAATTTCAAATCATACATAAAATGGATATTAGAATATTTGAGTTATTTTATAACATAACTAATGTAATTTGTGTTACCTGGGCTTTAGGGCTCCTACAGTGCAAGGCTAACTACATTTAGAGTTAAAGAGAACGCAGGTTCAATGTATTCTTTTTTTTTTATTTCAGATATTATGATTACATATATTTGTCTGTGGCATTATAGACCGACGGCATTCTAAATTGAACTTTCCACTGTAATTTATGATGTTTTATGTACAATTTTTTTTCCAGTTACAGAGCTTTGAAAAGATGTTTGGCAGTGGACAACTAAAAAATAAAGTAAATAAACTGATCAGATACACATTGCAGAGATTAAAGCTGAAGTTTAATCTGCTTATATTTTGCCTTCCCTGATTTCTGCCCCTCCTCTTCCCTCATCACTATGTTAATTAAATAATAATAAAAAAAAACAAAAAACTTTCTATCTTCATTATATACTCTATTTTAGACGCAGTGAAATGCTTTTCTGTGCCATGCAAGCAGTTAATGGCTGTTGGGAAGTATTGTTCTGTATATAACTTCCTGAAAATATCACAGCGCCCTGCCTTGTGCCACTCTCATGAGCTCTCAGCCCTGATGCAAGCAGTGGACTGCCTCTTGAGAGGTGTTATGCAAATATCAAAATGCCTTCTAGGGTGGGTGTCATTCTGAAGGAGTGAGCACTCCTTGGCAGACTGCACTAGCATACAGACCACCTTAACTAATGCCGATTTGCAATGCTGAGCCTTCATGATTGAAAAACCTGAAATGCAATGAATGAAAGGGGCAGGCCAGGAACAATTTATCTGAGGAGGAAAGGATAGATAATGTTGGACATCCTCCAGCTAGAAAATAAGGTGGCTCTATCTGACCTGCTGTAGCTTCTAATGCAAGCTGTAAGAAGCTAGTGTTCAGTAAAATTATACTAAGCATTTTCAGTACAGGAAAGGAGCCTGTGCAACTGTGCCAGATGAAAGGGAAGGCTGAAGTTCAGCTTTAGGGTACGTTTCACATCCAAACAGTAACCCACATTGTGTTCAGATTTATCTAAGCCTTGTCTATACCTTTGTCAACTTCATCTCGTAGTATTCAACCCTTGAACTCTTGCAGAAATCCTTTGTCAAATGTTGTCTCTGGAGAACTTCTTTGTCAAACTGTAAAAACATTCTGAACTGATCTGATTTGGTAAGACCAGAAAAATATGTGGGAATAAATCTGTATTTGTCTTTGTAATCCTTATTTGTTTTATATAGTTCATAATTGAAATTCAGCACCTTTAAATCAGGAGGTTCAAGCTCTTCACCCTGCAGTGATATTTCATCATATACTTGTTCTTGATTTTCCATGCAAGTTCCACATGACTGAGTTCCTAGAAGAGAACTAGCAAAAGGGGTATTTAAGGGAGTAGCAGGGCCAAATGGTTTTATCACTGAAGTAAGGGTACGTGCTGATTTAGTCTTGAGACCTTGTACTAAACTTGTTTTAACAGTAAAGTGCATGAGAGCATCTTTCATCTTTTTGCTGTTCTCATCTGATTCACTTGATGCTGCATCATATCTAAGTTTGCTATGCTGCAACTTTTGCTGGTTCTGTCCACTTCTCCAAAATGTCTTTGCTTCAAGAATTTGAGGCTTGAAAAGATGGTTATGATTTAGATGTCCACCTGTATAATCCCAGGAGTCCTTTTTATTTGCCCATTCTATTTCATCCAAAAGTTTGTTAAGAGGCTTCATTTTTGTTTGCTGCTTTGTAGCAGAGTGGCAATATTTCCCCTCATCTATTCAGGTAAATATGCTGCATCGCATCTAAGGAAAGAAGCAAAGAAATACAAATGAACCGAGTTGTCTCTATAAGTGACGAATTGCCAAATATTCAATACAAAAGCAAATGATCAAAATAATAGGAGTATTTATCATCTCAATGACATTATTTCTGCTGTTTGGTGTATGCCTTTCAATTAATAATGTGGAGAGCAATGATCAAAGTGCATTATCCATAACCAAACAGAGATCTTACTGTAAAATGTTAAAGTTGTTACTCTGGGTTCCTGCACATGATTGCTTTTGGTACCACTTAAGCAAATATATTATCTCTAAAGCATAAGGAGCTATACAGGAATCCAATTGGATTTTAGGTCCTGTACAAGATAAGGAGTCAGTGGGGGAATAATTTATAAATCATGGAGGTGCTCTGTCATGCAAGCAATGTTAAAGTTGAGTGAATGTTGATTCACTCAAAATACAAACAGAGGGAATGGGATGAGCATTCTATTGCCTAGGCACCAACCAAGCATGAAGTTAATGAGCCAATCTTTGTCAAACAATGTATAAATGATAGTGGATGGGAAAGTGCACATGGAATATAAATTAGTCTCTCAAATTCAGGTGTAGCAGATGGAGTGAGTGGCACTGAAGGTTGTGGGTCTGTGGCAAATGACAGAATGAAGGTTATCAAGTAACAATTGATCGACTGACTGTACATCAATTAATTATTTAATGATTTATTCTTACCATTTCTAAGTTAAACTAACACTAAACTCAGGAGTTCAATCTTAACAAATGCATTCAAGTACCTTAACTATTAACAAAAATGTAGATTATTTGTGTATCACTTAGCAATAGATTCTCAAATCATCTATGAATTTGTGCTGATACTGTCCTTCCTTCTGGAGGGTGACTACTTTTGTTCCTCATAATCCCTGTGTGTGTTTTAAAGTAGCCACCGCTACCGTTTCAACCACTTCCAGCCCGCATGGACATACTCCCAGCATGTATCGTCCGGGCCCACCAGACGCTGCCGTTGCCACTTTAACACAGCACTGTAGCTGGCTGAGCCCCATCAAGTCAGCAGGGGGGCCCGGCTGAAGCTGGCTGCATGAATGCCTGCTAGTTTTTTATTTCCCTTTTGGAAACAAACACAGTTGGAGTTGAGCTGCTGTGATGTCAGGGCTGGGGAAAAAACACCTGCAGCAATAGGGCACTTCTTTGCCTGGACACTGGGCAGCTGCTCTTACAGATTTTCTCCAAACATACAACAGTGCAGTGATTGGTATCTTCTCACACTCAAGCCTCAGGCAATACAGTCACCAGCACAGTGTCATCATAAGCAGCAGACAGTATTCTTGTAAGACTCACATGTGCACTGTCTTATAGCACTATGATTGCTGGTGACCTATGTCAGATGCTGTCCCTAATTGTGCCATCCTGTGCTCCCCACAGGATGGCACAATTAGGGACAGCATGCCATCAAGATAAGGATCCTGCAGAAAAATGAACCCTAGGGTTGCCACCTTTTCTTAAAGCCAAACCCGAACACTCTAGCACCTCGCTGCAATTTTTTTGTATACACAAAGCATATATTTTGTGATAAAATAACATTTGAGTTATGTGCAATAGTTCATATTGCACTATAATAGGATCACAGGTATAATAGATCACATAGATATGCACTATTATTCCCCAAAAACGACTGCACTTCACAGCCTGCCTTGCGCCAATAAGATTAATAAGCTGCGTGCACCCAATCTATAAAGTGTTAAACAAAAAAATGGTGTATATGGTGCCATGCTCCCAATACCCGCAATCACTCAAAACAATTTACCATATGTATCCGTGTAATGAATGATATAAATACCGGTGTATTCCTAACTCCATTGGTAGAGAAATTAATATCACTCTGCGTCAATGCAGTTAACTAAAAAAAAAACATTTGCATGTATAGTGCAATCCAAGCGCTTATAAAATGCTCCAATTAGTGCCCTCTCATTTATGTCTTCAATTAGAGGTTTCCACCATCACTCCTCATCCACACTCTTAGTGTCTTCAAAACAAGGTGCCCCCACTCCTCATGTGTTATTCCTTTAAAGGAGAACTATGAGGTGAGTGCTTTTCACTCACCTCATAGTTCTAAGCCGACGTGTGACAATGAGACTGTCACAGGTCGGCTCAGTAGATCGGGAAGTGAGCGAACACCGGCGCACGCTCACCTCTCGATCCTGTCCCTGCAGAGAGAGGTGACTGTCACCCATGGCTCCCTGCAGGGATTCCCCCCCTCCCCGCTTCTTCAGCGCTGACTGGCGGAACGGACGGGGGAGGGTACAGCTGGCTCTGCCTCTAGATAGGAAGAGCCAGCTGTCACCCAAGCAGCTGGGCGGATCTCAACTGTAATATCGGGATCCGTCCCGGCTGCGGCGGTCTCAGTATACCGCGAGCTGTAGCTTGCTATATACTGAGCTTAGGGTGATGGGAGGACGCTAGTTTATGTCCTCTTATGACCCTAAGGAGAACTATGGGGAAAAGCCCTAACCTCATAGTTCTCCTTAAAGGGAAACCGCTCACCTATTCCACAGACCTCTGAAACAGACCTCCGATCTTTGGGGACTCATCACCTTTTTGTGAATAACCCTGAAAATGTTCTAACACCCAGTAATAATCACCGTCAGGGTAGTCCCGATCCTTTTTGCTGCCTGAGGATGGGGGTGTTGTTTGCTGGTGGAGAGTGACATTGACGCTCTGACCGTCGTTGTCCCATCCAGCTCCTGGCAACCAGTGACATCACTGGTTGCCAAGAGCTGGACGGGACGTTGGCCAGAGTGTCTCAGGTTGCTAAGAGCTGTATGCACCTCCTTCCACCCAGCTCTTAGCAACCTCTGGCACTCTGGTCAAAAAGGGGGCAGCAGGCACCCAGTAAATAATATGCCATTGCCATTCCGCACCCCACGTGACCCTAAGAGACATTGCCTAAGGCAACAGCCTCTGGCTGCCTCTTTATAGGGATGGTGCTGCTCACCATAATTTGCAGTCCCATGACAGTCCTCCAATTTTCAGGGCTCCAATGTGGGTGGGTACTTCTACCAGTGCCCACGTTCCATCCTGATTATGTGCACGCTGATCCTGCACTGATTAGGTGCAATAATGTAAATGAGTGCAGACCTGGGCGATCCGGGACGCGCGTCGTGCGCAATTGCACACAGCGATTACCGTGCTGCCCCGTTGACTTCAATGGGGTTACATCTGCGTGCAATCACAAAAAAAGGTACATGTGGGAAATCGCGCGATCCGCCCAGCATGACTGGGGTGCCATTAGGAAATAATGGCACCGCCAGCGCAATCGTCGGTAGTGGGCAATTATGTGACCGCAAGTTCACTTTACAGAAGGGACTTTAAGCATGGTCAACCTGCCTTCAATGTTATTCCCAAACTACTGGCAGCCTGCTCACTACTTTTAGGTATAGAGGAACATGTGAAACCCCCCTATCTCCTCGCAATCCAGTGATCATTTCCTGAGCCAGTGCTGCAAAATGGGGGAGAACAGAGGTCCATAGCTGTGTAGAAGATTAAAATCAAACCTCACACAGGACGGTGTCAGAAGTTTCTCCCGCTGCACTCAATGGGACTTCTCATAAGTTCCTACATCACTACTGGGTCCTAAAGTGACATAGGAGGAAGGAGATGGAGTCACATTGCACTGCGCGGGACACAGGAACTCAACAAGCTCAGAAGGGTTCAATGCTGAAGATGCCGAGATCCTCTCAGCACTGCTGCAATCAGAGGAGAGAAAGGGGGAGGGGCGATTAGACACCGTGAGAGGAGCCGACAGCAACTGACATCGCCGGGGGTATGTGCAGCTTACTTAGAAAGCCACGATCCGGTTTGAATACTGTGTACGGGAATCAGGTGGGGTGATTCCCGGGCACAGGATTCAAATCCCGGACTGTCCGGGTGAAACCTGTACGGGTGGCAACCCTAATGTACCCCTATGAGGGCACTGTACAGAGGGACACACTCAACAAGAGAAGGAACAAACTGCCAGACCCTTGGGAACAATGTAAAGGAGACCATGGAGAAGCAGGTACACCTGCTACAAACAAGGTGTTATGTGTGCTGATATATGTGAGTGTGTGTGTGTGTGTGTGTGTGTGTATATGTATCTATCATGGTCTGAATTGTTATACAACTCCCTGAATGAGTTTTAATTCATTGAAAGGATGCTACTACTGATTCTGGATACTAGGGGTAATTACTATTTCACTAGTTGGGTAGAAGAAATTTGGTGCAGCCTAAAGATATCAAATGATGTTAAAGTGACAGTAAACATGATCAACTACTAATTAGTAGGATCTCAAGTCTTTAAGCACCATCAAACATATCCGGCCAATGGGGTTCAGGAAAATAGCAGGGTGGGGGTTGAGTGTATAGACTTATGGGTTGGGGCCCTGTCGAGTAGGTTGTACGGGGCCCCATGATTTCTAATTGCGGCCTTGCTGGTAGTTCAGGGGTCTGGCCTCCTGCAGGGATGCCTGCTGCACCAACCCGCTGAACATGCTGAAGGTGAGCACTCACCTATCTGCTGCCATGGAAATAGCTGCCCAATAACTTGTGTGTGGGGATGACGTCCCATGGGGATCGAACTGTGTATGTGTGAAGGCCGATCTCGGAGATGTTGTTGTGTATGTGTCATTCTAACTGCCTAGTCTTTGGTCTGCTGTACATTGGTTCTGGTTTGAAGTCTGCCATGCATTGGTTCAGGTCTGCAGTCTGCCGTACATTGATTCAGGTCTGCCGTACATTGATTCGGGTCTTAGATTATACAGTTCCCCTGTCAATTCTTCTACTAATTCCCCTGCAATTTACCCAGGATATTTGGCAAAATTGAAGAATCTAGGTTAAAATATCCAAATTGCAAATATTGGTATAGATATTGAAATTCTCCCACCAATTCCCATGCAATTCACCTTTTAGTGAATAGAACTGTTATTTTGAAAATAGTACGGAGAAAT